GGACTGTGGAGCTACCCGATGTGGCAGCAGGAGGACACAGAGGCGAGAGAAAGGCAAAGGACTGGATCACAGAGCAGATCACTGTGAAAGCAACAGGATAGTCAAGAATGAACAATCACCATCATTAAAATTCAGCATGACGTTAGCATCTGTCCTTTTAGGGCACCTTGAGCCCTTTTGTTTGACTTGGCACATGGCAAATCTAAACCAGAGTTACCTTAATTTCTCTAGACTCAGTAGAAGATCATTTCTTGAGGACCACATTGTAGATTGTTGGTGTAAGCGCGGGAGGGTTTCAGACGAATGTGGTGGGAAGAAGTGTTGGTAGTGGAACCAGGCTGCCTGGCTGAAAGGTGGGTGGTAGGTAAGGAGGCCTATTCATAAATGCTAGTAGCAATGTAGATAGAAATGATGGTGATCTGAACTCAAAGGAAAGGCAGAATAAAAGAGAAAGAACAGGAATTTCTGTTTTGAAGACCATCTATATTTAACTCAAGAACAAAAAACCCCAAATAATCTAATGAAAAATAGAAGGCATGAACAGACATTTCTATAAGACAGACAAATGGCAAAGAGACACATGAAAAGGTGCTCAACATCACCAGTCATCAGAGAAAGCAAAACAAAACCACAATGAGATCCCACCTCACACTTGTCAGAATGGCCAAAATCCAAAATACAAGGTTGTGGGTAAAAAGTCCTCCTCGTCCACTGTTGGTGGGAATTCAGACTGGTGCAGCCACTGTGGAAAACATAGAAGATTAAGAATACAATTACTGTATGATTCATAATTCCACTACTAGGTATTTACCCAAAGAATGTGAAAACACTAATTTGGTAAGAGACGTGCTTCCCTATGTTTATTGCAGCATTAACTTACAATAGCCCAGAAAAGGAAGCAACCCAAGGGTGAGTTGATAGATGAATGGATAAAGAAGCTATATACAATGGACTGTTACTTAGTTATGAAAAAGAATGGAATTTTGCTATTTGCAGCAAGAGGGTATAATGCTAAATGAAATAAGTCAGTGAGAGAAAGACAAATACTCTACGATTTCACTCATATATTGAATTTAAGAAACCAAACAAATGAACAACAAAAAAGATAAACTAAAAAACAGACTCATAAATATAGAGAAGAAACTGGTGGTTATTAGAGGGTAGGTGGGTGGGGAGATGAATGAAATAGGTGAAAGGGATAAAGAGTATGTTTATCGTGATGATCACTGTGTAATGTATAGAGTTGTTGAATCACTGTATTGTACACCTGAAAACTAATAACACTGTATATTAATTATACAGGAATTGAAATTTTAAAACCCATCTATTTTGTTTGCTGGGCATGTGTAAGTATGAAAAGAATCAAGAGACCACACTTTGGCTTCAAAATGTTATCGGAGATAGCGTGACATTTCCAAGTGGAGCATGTGGGTGGGCAATTGGATATATACATTTGGCACCCTGGCTAGAGATGGAGGATGGGGACCAGGATGCGGGAGGCAACGCCTCTCAGTGATAATAAGGTCATGGGAGTATACATATTCACCCTGAGGGATCTGCAGAATGAAGTAACACGAATCCTAGAGCAAGCCATCAGGAATATCACATTATCCAATCAAGCAGAGAACAAAGGGTAGCCAGAGGGTTAAAAAAAAAAAAAAAAAAAAAAAAAAATCAGTGTCCCGAGCAAGAGAAGAAACTATTGTAAAACAGTATAATATTGGACTCAGTTATTATAGTGTATAAAGCTTGCAAACCAAGTTGTCAACTTTGCATGTTTTTGAAAGCATGTCTTATAATTATACGTGTTAGGAGGAAGAAATACTTCAAATTAGTTGAATGGATAAACCATCCAATTGACATTTCTTTTTCCATACAGGTCACTATATATGACAGTCATATTTGGAATTCTAAAATGCTTATCTGGTTTCAATAATAGTTACTGAAGTTGAATGCATAAAACAAGGAATACTTGCATAATTTAATCAGAGGAATGCTGTTACTTGATTTATTTCTTGGTGGTTCCAGGATTTCTAATGACATGGTGCATTTGTATCTAGAATGGAATTATATTAGCATTTCTAGCTTTTTCCCCTCCTATTATAAAATGACTCAGGGTATTCATTTTAATGTAAATGTAATGTTATTAATAAAATTCATCTCTTTATTAATCCTCTTTTTAATGCTTTTAATTGCTATGACTTTTTGTTTGCTTTTTGCTTTTGTTCTGATTTGGACAGTTGATTGAGGAACATTCACATATCTTGGTCAGCATAGTGGTAATGTGGAAAACATATTGCCAGTAGGTGGTTTTGAGGACATGATGTAAAGGAAATGTTGGACGGTGTTTATAGATACAATTTTAGAATTTAGGAATATGGTGTAAAAGGAGAGTAATATTTCACTTGAGTAGAGTTCTCTTGACCAGTCTCTTAATCTGAAGTGAGACGGAGATCCAGGGAGTAAGAAAGAAAAGTTTCCTCAGGGATCAAAGTAGATCTGTCTCCTTTATCCTTAGGTCCTCACCCTTACAGGAGAGGCCTCCATGTTCTTTTAGCCTTTTAGGACTTTACTGGATGTGTCTCCATCATGTTGTTTTACATAATTGTTCTGACAGATCTGTTTGGTTTTCAAGCTCATGGTTAATTGAAAGGGAAGAGAAATTGCTGAAGTAGAAATGACACTATTCTAGGGAGGGGAAAAAAAAAACCCTCCCTTCACCCCCTCAAAATTCTAGAAGCATAGCAGTATCGTAGCACTCCTGGAGGTGTATATTGGATAAACAGCCCAGACAGCTGCATTCAGGGAGCTTCTGAAAGAATGTGTGATCCATTGATCAGTGGAGGAAGATGAAATCATACTTAAAATAATGTCCCCCAAAGCAACATATTTTTCATGTTATGCTATTGAGAGTAGTCAATTTTGAGTGGTGCCTGGCTGGCTCAGTCAGAAAAGCCTGCGACTCTTGATCTTGGGGTCATGAGTTTGAGCCCCACATTAAGTGTAGAGATTACATAAATAAATAAACTTAAAAAAAGGATTTCAGAATAGTAAATTTTGATATTTAAATGGTATTTATTCACTTATAAAATGCCCAGTTCACTAACATGAAACAAGAAATGAAGTCTTGTATTTTGAAAGACTTTAGTGAATATTTATTTTGATCTATGAAATACGTTACGCTTATTTAATAATCAATTGTTACTATAGCATTTCGTAAGCACCCACTGGGTACAGTAATAGAAAAAGAAGACATATGATCCCTTACCTCTAGGAATTTGCCTTCTGAGAGGAAACTAAGCCTGAAGTGACAAGTTATTTTAGTTTGTTTCAGGCTATGGGAGAGTATTCAGAGCAGAGTGCTACATATACTATAGAAGGCTTCTTAGAGGAAGGGCAATTATTCATAGTTTTTTTTTTTTTTTATTTCATTTTTGAAAGAGACAGTGTGAGTTGAGGAGGGGCAGAAAGAGAGGGAGAGAGAGACTCCCATGCGGGCTCAGGGCCCGATCTCACAAAACCATGAGATCATGACCTGAGCTGAAACCAAGAGTTGCACCCTTAACTGACTGAGCTACCCAGGCACCCTGAGGAGAGGCGAGTTTTGAAATGAATTTAGAAAAAGATGGGGAAGGATGCTTTTTTACATATATCGTTAAGACAAAAACCAGTGATTTTGTTTCTTCACTTATTGTTGAAAGAAAATTCATCCTATTCCCCAAACCTAGTAGGATATTATTTTTATTTAAAATGAGCAAGGCACATCCTCGACTGCTATCACAACTTTGGTAAAGGAATGGAAGAATCATTTAAAATCTTGGATTTTTCCTTCTATTCCGTATTACGTTCCTGCTGGGAGACCACAGTCCCTGGTTGGTGACAGAGAGAAAATACTTCATTTTCATGTTCTCATTCTCTTATCCCTAGATGCCTGTGACCCTCCGCAGTACAACTCTATGAGGCCAACTGTTGTTAAATCCAGTTATAATCCTGGGGAAAATGTACAATTTCAGTGTCGCCCAGGATACAAGCGTATTATACCTCTTCTTCCCATATCTTCTGTTTGTTACCCTAATAACACATGGACACCTCTCCAGGAGGCTTGTACAAGTAAGTGTACAGATTTTTTTTTTATTGCTCTAGAGATTTCACACATTTGAGATTGCATGTTCCACTAGTGCAGTGATTGTTTTCTCATGTGAATGTAGGTTTTAAATAGTAGTTTTTCAGTCCTCGAAAAATCCCCAAGGAATCTTTTTCTTGGCAATTGGTTATCTGGTTAAATGTGAATCTTAAGTTTGGCTTTATAATAGTCAAAAATAGAAAATACTCTCATGAATTCAGATAAGCAATGCCGAATTTTTATTTTAATTCAAGTATTTTGAAATTGACATGAAACAACAAATTTGAAAATTTTCTTTTAGAAAGATCATGTCAACATCCAGGAGATCCCGTAAATGGCCATATGGTTAGCATAAATGGAAATTTTCTCTTTGGATCACAGGTTCACTATGAATGTAATGAGGGGTAAGTAAATTGTTCCTTAGAGGAAATAAGGTAAATATTCCTAATTCCATTTTTGTTTTGCTTCTCTTCATAAGCGTTCCCATAAAGTTGATTGCATTTTCCTCCTATTGACAAGTCGTACTTACCGCCTAACAAGGCTCAGGCTTTTTATGGAAACTGAAAAGATGTGTAATTAGTAGGAAGAAATTTAAATTGAAGAAAAACAAAATTCTATAATATTTACCATATCTACTATAAATCTATTGTGAACATTAACAATGGTGACTTCATTTTTTACAATAAAGTGCACCCTATTTAAAATGGCCAACTCTCAGTTGAAGTTGGGCTTATAGAAATGAAAGACCAAATTGCCAACTGAAGATATTCTTATATTGAGAGCAGACCAAAATTCACCTGGTTAACCTGAACCGTTATGTTGATCAAGATCTGTTAGTTAGAATTTTGTGATTGTTACAAAGGTTAAGTATCTCAAAAAGAGGTATTGAGCACTTAAGAATAACAGCCTTTGAGGCATCTGAGTGGCTTGGTTGGTTAAGCATCTGACTTCAGCTCAGGTCATGATCTCAAGGCTCATGAGTTCAAGCCCCACATCGGACTCTGTGACTACAGCTCAGGGCCTGGAGCCAGCTTTGGATTCTGTGTCTCCCTCTCTCTCGGCCCCTCCCTCACTCACACTGTGTCTTTCTCTCTCTTTTTCAAAAATAAACATAAAAAAATTTTTTTAAAAAGATTAACAGCCTTTGTTCTATAGGGTTCTTTCAGTAGTCTATATTGGGGATACTGGACATGTATGAAAAATGTTCATTTAGAAGGTAAACGGAATACAGTATGAAAATGCGTCTGATTTTTTTTTTTTTATATTGTCTTTTATCCAGCTACTTTGCTGAATTCATTTATTAGTGCTACTAACACTTGTTTTGTTCTGGTGGAATCTTTATGATTTTCTATAGATAAGATCACATTGTCTACAAACTGATAATTTTACTTCTTCATTTCCAGTTTGGATGTCTTTTATTTCTTTTTCTTGCCTAATTGCTATGGCTAGAACTTCCAGTACTATGTTGAATAGAAATGGTAAAAACAGGCATCCTTGACGTGTTCTTGATCTTAGAGGAACAGCTTTCAGCTTTTCACCATTGAGTATAATATTTGCTGTGGGTTTTTCATGAATGGCCTTTATTATCTTAAGATAGTTTTCTTCCTAGTTCATTGAATATATTTACCATGAAAGAGTGTTGAATTTTGTCAAATGCTTTTTCTGCATCAATTGAGATAATTGTGTGGTTTTTGTCCATTCTGCTGATGTGGCATATGACATTGATCATTTTTCATATGTTGAACCATCCTTGCATCCCAGGAATAAATTTTGCTTGTTCATGGTATGTAATATGCTACTGAATTTTGTTGGTTAGTATTTTTTGATGATTTTTTGCATCATGGCTCATAAGAAGTATTGGTCTGTAGCTTTATTTGCTTGTAGTGTCTTTTGGTATCATGTTGATGCTGGTTTCATTGAATGAATTGGGAAGATTTCCCTCCTCTTAAATTTTTTGGAAAAGTTTGAGAAGGATAGGTATTAGTTCTTTAAATGTTTAGTGGAATTCACCCATGAAACCATCAGGTCTGGGGTTTTTCTTTATTGAGAGAATTTCGATTACTGATTCAATCTCCTTACTAGTTATAGGTGAGTAAGTAGTTGTAATTTCTGTTTCTTCATGGTTTAGTTTTGGTAGCCTTTGTGTTTCTAGGAATTTGTCCATTTTATCTAGGTTATCCAACTTGTTGGTGCAAAACTGTTAATAGAACTCTTTTATTATATTTTATATTTCTGTAGAATTGATAGTAATGTTCCCACTTGCATTTCTGATTTCAATAAATTGAGTCTTCTCTCTCTCTTGTCCATCTAACTAAGGTTTGTGAATTCAGTTGATCTTTACAAAGAACCAACTTTTGGTTTTTCTCCTCTATTTTATTTATCTCCTCTCTAATCTTTAATACTCCCTTCTGCTAGGTTTGGGTTTAGTTTATTTTGACAGAAAGAAAGAATTGAGTTGGGGAGGGTCAGAGAAGGAGAGAGAATCCTAAGCAGGCTATGTGTTGTCAGCACACAGCCCAACACAGTTTGATCCTATAAACTGTGAGATCATGACCTGACACAAAATCAAGAGTCAGATGCTCAACTGACTGAGCCACCCAGGTCCCCCTGGATCATGCATGTGTTTTCATCCATTCTGCTGATCGCTGTCTTTTGATTGGAGAATTTAATCCATTTACATTTAAAGTAATTACTGGCAAGAGGCACTTCTGAAATTGTGCTATTTTTTTCTATATGCTTTATACCTTTTTATGTCCCTCATTTCCTGTATTACTGTTTAATTTTTTGTTTAGTTTATTTTTACAGTGAAATGTTTAAATTCCTCTCTCATTTCCTTTTGTGTATATTCTACAGCTATTTTGTTTATAGTTACCATGGGAACTACAGTTAACATCCTCCACTCTTAGCACTCCAGTTTGAATTTACACCAGGTTAGCTTCAATAAATTACAAAAACTGCTCATTTACAGCTTCATCCCCACCCTTTTGGTTGCTGATGCTGCGCTGATCTCTACACTAATAATTGTAATACTAGCTTCTGCACTAATAACTTATTTTCTTCTAAAAGATTGGTGTCTTAAATCATATAGAAAACAAAAATTTTACTTACAAACCATTGTTACAATAATACTAGCTTTTAATGTTGCCCAGGTATTTACTTTATTGAGATCTTTATCCATACAGCTTAAAGTTACTTTTTAGTGTCCATTCATTTCACCTCGTAGACTCCCTTGGACATTTCCTATAAGCAAAATTGTAGTCACAAACCGTTGGTCACAAACTCCCTCAGATTTTTTTTTCTGGGGAAGTCTTGATTTCTCCCTCACTTTTGAAGGACAGTTTTACTGGATAGAGGAATTTTGGTTGCCAGTTCTTTTTCTTTTAGCCCTTTGAGCTTTCAGTCCATCCACTATCTTCTGACCTCTAAGTCCTGATGTGAAATCTGTTGATAATCTTATTTAGGATCCCTCCTAGGCGATGATTCACTTCTTTCTCCCAGCTTTCAAGATTCTCTGTCTTTGTCTTTGTCTTTTGAAAGTTTCTTATGCTTTCTAGTGTGGGTCTCTATGCATTCTTCTTACTTGGAGTTTGTTGAGCATCTTAGATGTTTATATTCACAACTTTCATCAAAATCGGGAAGTTTCCAACCATTATTTCTTCAGATATTCTCTGTGCCCTTTCTATCTTCTTCTGATTGTCTTACAGCATGTATGTTGGCTAGCATATTGGTGTCACCTAAGTACCTGTGGTTGTCTACTTTTCTTCAATCTTTTCTCTTTCTGCTCCTCAGACTCCATAATTTCCATTGCCCTCTCTTCACCAATTCTTTCTTCTGCATGTTCAAATCTGTATTCAATTCCCTAGTGAATTTTTCATTGTAGTTATTATGCTTTTCAACTCCAGAATTTCATTTTGGTTTTGTTGTAGGTTTTCTATCTCCAGTAGATGTTTCCATTTTCTTCACACATTGTTTTCTTGACTTTCTACATTTCTTCCTTTAATTCTTTGAGCATCTTTAAGACTTTTATTTTAAAGTCTTTGTCTAGTTCTGTTAATTTCTGTTAATGTATATTTTCCTTTGAATGGACCAGACTTTCCTCTTTCTTTGCATACCTTGTAACTTTTGTTGAACTGTACATTTGAATCTACTAATGTGCTAACTCTGGAAATCAGATTCTCCTCTTTCCCTAGGGTTTGCCATTTTATGTTATTCTTGTAGGCTGTCTCCATGCGAAGGATCAGCCTGACATGTAAACTGAAGGTCTTTTCAGTTTTTTCTAGCCTTTCTCTGGGCATGCACATTCACTTTTACTTTTTCCCACACATGCAGTTGTCTTTCAGTGTTCTAGTCTTTAATGTCTGGCTCCTGAGAGGAGAAAAATGAAACATGAAATGAGGAGCAGAGGGCACTGGATATTTAGTCCCCTAGAAGTCACTTCAGGCTGGTAGAAGGGGGCTTACAAGAGTTAGGGGCAGGTGTGACAGCAGTAACTGCCTGCCTCACTGCTTCTCTGTGATCAGAAGCAGAGTTCAGTGATAAGAGCACAGATCCCCGCTATTTGGAGGACAGTGTCTTTTTTTGCCCACCCTGGATCTCCCAACTGCTTCTAAGCTGCTCCAAGAACGCATGCACAGCTGCCTGCTGAGGGGTGGAGGATGGGTACCTGACACTCTGCTGAGATGAAATTGACTGAAATCAATGCAGTTTACCTGTCCAAGTCTTTCCTGCGAAGTTGTAAACCATCAGCAGACTCCCTAGTTCTAAAATATTTACATCACATAGATGCTAAGAGTGCAGTTGTCTTCTAGATCGAGAGACAGATTCCTGGTGCTTACCACCTTGCCATTGTTCCAGAATAATCTCCTAATACATTTTAATAGAGAATCAGTGATTGACTGATTCTGGGGGAAAATTCAGCTAGAAGTATTTGCAGGCAGTTTCACTGTCTGTTTTTTAACTTGGTCCAGTAAAAATATTGGAGCATGCTGTCACCATAGGCATACCTCAGAGGTGGAGGGTTTGGTTCCATAACCCCTCAATAAAGCAAGTATTTCAAAAAAGTGAGTGAAATTAATTATTGGGTTTTCTAGTGCATATAAAAGTTAGGTTTATACCATAATGGAGTCTAGTAAATGTGCAATAGCATTATATATTAAAAAAAAAACAATGTACATACCTTAATTTAAAGATAAGTTTATACAGAGACGCGAAGTGAGCCAATGCTGTTTGAAAAATGCACTGATTGACTTGCATGTTGTAGTATTGCCACAGACCTTCAATTTATTAAAAAAAATACAGTATCTGCCAAGTGCACAGAAAAAAAAAAACGCAATAAAACGAGGTATGCCTATAGTTATTTAGAGATAGCTTGTTAGGCACTTTAAGGAACAGTAAAAATTTAAGACCTATTCTCTTCTCAGAGAAGTTGTAGCCTTATTGAGAAACAAAATACATACAAAAAGATGTCAAAACAAAGTAGCAAATGAATAGTCCCAAATAAATATAATGATTCATGATCATTACAATGAGAGTTCAGGAGAAGAGAGTACTGTGAATTTAAATCATCAGAGAAGATAATGAGTAGGCATATCCCTGAGCTATTCCTTGTTAGAAAGATACTATGGGGACACCTCGGTGGCTCAGTCAGTTGAGGAGCCAGCTCTTGGTTTCGGCTCACATCATGATCCCACGGTTCGTGGGATATAGCCCCACATCAGGCTCTGCACTGTCAGCTTCTCTCTCCCTCTCTTTCGGTCCCCCCCCCTCCCAAAAATGAATAAGCATTTATAAAAACAGATACTGTGATGTAAACATGAATAAGAACTAAAACTCACCTAACACTTGCTATGTGCCAGATGGCAACTCATCTAATCCTCAAAAGAGCTCCATGATGAGGGTGCCTGGGTGGCTCAGTCGGTTAAGCGTCTGACTTCGGCTCAGGTCATGATCTTGCGGTCCGTGGGTTCGAGCCCCGCATCGGGCTCTGTGCTGACAGCTCAGAGCCTGGAGCCTGTTTCAGATCCTGCGTCTCCCTCTTTCTCTGACCCTCCCCTGTTCATGCTCTCTGTCTCTCTGTCTCAAAAATAAATACATGTTAAAAAAAGAGCTCCATGATGTATATGCTGTTATCCTCTTTGGCGGGATGAGGAAGCTGAGCAAGAGGAACATTAAGGGACTTGCCTGAGGTCAGATAGAAAGCGAGTCATGGAGCTGGGACTCAGCTCCATCCAGGCAAGCCCTAGGGCCTAATCTCTCTGCTTGGCTGTTCTGACTGAGAAGAATGGCCAGAGCATAGAAGTGAATGTGTAATGTGATGGCTGGAGATAGCAGAGAGGCCAGACTGACAGATGTGACAGATTTATTTAGAAATCTTTGCTCTAGGCCAGTGTATATTTCAGTGCAGAAATTCTTTATTTGGTTACGTTGCAGCTATGGTTACCATTCTCATTATATGTCCCTTAAGGAACTTCTTCCTCAAACTACTGTAGTAGAGAAAAACAGCCATGTGAAATGTTTTTTTATTGCTCTACACATCTTGTTAACTGCTGAAGAATCCAGTAACTTTTTTTCTTTTCTAGTTATCGATTGTTTGGGTCAAAAGTTATTCATTGTGAACTTTCTAGTATCGACGATAATACAATGACTTGGAGTGATAATCCCCCTCTATGTAGTAGTAAGTATATGCTTTCTTTTGAATTTAGAGGATTAGTCTTTAAAATAGCAGCACTTTCAACAGTAGCCAAATGATGGAAAGAGCCTAAATGTCCATCAACTGATGAATGGATAAAGAAATTGTGGTTTATATACACAATGGAATACTACTTGGCAATGAGGAAGAATGAAATATGGCCTTTTGTAGCAACGTGGAGAGTGTTATGCTAAGTGAAATAAGTCATACAGAGAAAGACAGATACCATATGTTTTCACTCTTTTGTGGATCCTGAGACTTAACAGAAGGCCATGGGGGAGGGGAAGGGGAAAAAAAAGTTATAAAGAGGGAAGGAGGCAAACCATAAGAGACTCTTAAAAAACTGAGAATAAACTAA